CATCACAAGATGAATCATAATTATTAATTTGATTAGAGACTTAATTTAAATGAAAAGATGGGAAACGGTTTGTAGACAGAGGTAAATCATTAGTTTTAAGAATTTTATTTGAAGAAAATAGCAATTTAAATTTGTTATCTGGTAAATCTGTGAAAGGAAAGATACTTTTAGTACAGTTTACATAATTCGACAACAAACGACTTCATTGTAGTAAATTGTATTTAGTATCATTAAGCCTACCACATTTTATATGAGTCCAAAATAAACAAATATTACATTGAGTTAAGCGGGAATTTTGACTAATTTTTTTTTTTACATAAATGGCTGTTTAAAGCCATAGTAGAGTTGCAATATTAGGGAGAATGTAAAGCCATAGTAGAATTGCAATATTAGAGAGAATATATGAAACAAATTTGGTTTCTTAATCAAAGCCAAATTAAGAAATTTTTATTGAGTATATTATTTAATGAATATTAATTTTATCTTTTATTATTATTGCTATTTTTATACAACTGTATTTATAAAATTCTTATTACTTTTATTTTTGTCTTTTTTAACTACTAATATTACTAATATCATTAATTTACCTTTGTTTTATAAATCTTTTATTTTTGTCTTTTTTAAGTCTACTACTAATATTACTATTATCATTAATTTACCTCTGTTTTATAAATCTTATTAATATTATTTACAATGATATTGATAGTGATTAAATTGTAGTTTTATGGTTATTGTCCTTATTGTTGCTAATGCATTATATATTGCATTATATAATGTTTATTTTAATAATTTCTGTCATAGTTATAAACTTTACTATAATTATTTTTACCATAAATTTTATCATTAATTATAATTATTAGTAAATTTATCATGTTATAGTTACTATTTGTAATGCTTTTCTATTCATATTATTATTATTGTTATTATTATTATTATTATTTTTATTATATTATTATTGCAATTATTAATATTATCTTTATTTATTAGTGTTTTACTTTCTTTCCTTTCCTTTTTTTTTTTCTTTCCCTCTTATTTTAAATTCTTTCAATGTTTTATTAATAGTTTTTTTTCATTTTTTTTTGTTTGACACAGAATTTGTTTGTTTTGAAGGTTTAATTAATTCTTTACATAATCAAGAAAAAGTAAGAGCTAAAATTGTGTAATTATAAAAAAAAATATGACAAAGTTAAAAAATCTTGAATATTCTTTCATAAAAAAAACTTTAAATTTAACTATAAATTAAAACAGCGTTAACACTATAAAATTAACTTGTAGAAGTGTTAAGTATTTAGTTAAGTAATTACCAAAGTATTTTGAAGAAAAAAAAGTAATTAAAGTGTACTAACATATTTTTAAAGAGAATGGGCTAATACTTTTGCACACTTAAATCAACACATTTTTTTGAGTAGTCATTAAAATTCTAATTAATTCATCGGAAAAACAATCAGGTTGACTGATATTTAACCCTATCCTTGATGTCGCGATCGCAACGCAAAATGAGATACCATCTTTGTAGGGGGAAAACATTGAACAAAATGTGTTATTAGCGCGTTTTTAACCCGGCTTTAAAATTAAAACAATTAACAAAACATGCTAATCACGCTCAATGTTTTCCCCCTACAAAGATGGTAACTCGTTTTGTGACGCAATCGCAACCTCAAGGATAGTGTTAAATATCAGTCAACCTGATTGTTTTTCTGATGAATTAATTAAAATTTTAATGACTACTCGAAAAAATGTGTTGATTTAAGTGTGCAAAAGTATTAGTGCACTCATTAAAAATATGTTAGCACACTTTAATTACTTTTTTTTGTTAATTACTCTCTGCTGATTAATAATAATTAATAAAAAATATAAGCAAAAGTTAAACGTTGTATGAGTCGGGAGAACGTAAAGATGGGAGAGAGTTTAAAAGGGTTGAAGTGCAAGGAAAAAACTAGACAAATAAAAGTTTTTAGAGTATGCAGTGACAGTAATTGAATGAGACTTTACTGAATGATGAGTCAAGCCAGAATGAGTTTAGTTGATAGAACTAGAGAAAATAGCTGCTTTGAGCAGTAACCATGATAGTATTGGTAGAAAAGAGAAAAAGATACTACTTAACAACAATGGGAAAGAGGCTCAAGCTTAGCAGATAGGGCAGGTCTAACTACATTTAAGATGCATTTTTGGACCTTGTCCAGTAGAGAAAGAACATCATTAGAAAAACCAGCTCAAATATGACAACAGTATTCCATACAGGGACAAATAAAAGATTTGTAGAGTTTAAGAATGGAATCAGAAGAGAGAAAATAACTAGCATGATAAAGAGAAACAACTTTAGCAGATTTTGGTTTAGCAATTGATTGTATATATGATTTCTATGGAAGGTGAGTAGTGAACAATCAAGAAGAGGAAAGACGAGAACTGAGTGAGAAGATTGCAATTCATCAATATAGAAATGTCGACAATATTGCGATAGTTGTTTGCAGTAAAAAACTAGATTTTGTTTGATTTGAGATCAGATTCAAGATTGATTGCCTGTTCTAAGCGATCAAAAAGAAAGGCTTTTTGTCAAGACAGAAGTATAAAGTTGAGTCATCAGCAAAAAGAGCTACATTAGTTGTAAGGTTGTTAGGAAGATCAATGATGTAGATAAGAAATAGAACAGGACCAAGGATATAACCTTGAGGTGCCCCAGAGGTTACTGGAAATGAAGAAGAGTGATGAATTTAATAAAGCAGTTTGAAAAAAACAATTTGATAATCTCAAAAACCTTTCCAGATACACCATATAAAACAAGCTTATGGAGAAGACCTGCATGCCAAACTTTTTCAAAAGATCCACCTAATGCATAATAAAATCTTTCAGTCACAGCAGTTAGCAAGTCAGTCATAGAACAAGAGGATTAAAAATTGTATTGATTGTCTGACAGTAAGTTATTTGGTGGGATGTGAAAAATCTGTTCAACAGCAGATGCTATTTTCAAGCAGGCAGAAAAACAAAGACTCAATCAAGCACTTATTAAATAGTTTAGAGAGAGTAAAAGATTGTTCTGGAAAACAACTTTCTGGAGAATTTTGTAAAATTATGACAGGAATGTTATAATTTTACAAAAAATTGAACAAAATTATGTTGTCTGGACCTCAAGCCATAGAAGAGTTTAACCGAGAATTTGGCTATGGAAGCTGGAGTGATTAGAATGTCTAACCTGTTTAATTGGAATGGAAGGAAGATGATTCATAAGATTTAAGAATCCATAAGTTTTAAGACTCGAATTAAAAGAAAAGTTATTTGAAAATACTTCTTATCCATAGAAGAGGTAATAAAATCAGTCCCATAAATGAGAGATGGAATGTTAGACCTTTGTTTATGGCGCTGTTGATGACTTTCCAAAAGTCTCTAGAGCCTAACTTCTGAGTTAAGATAAGAGACTTAGTGAACTGAGAAAAGTCACAAAGTAAACTATTGTCTCAGCAATCAAGAAATTGAATATCAACTTGAGATCAGTGAATGAGATCATTTTACCGCTCAAAAACTATAATGAGTTTGGAACAGTCAAAGACAAAAGAAGGTTAAATCAGTATTTGGGACTGGATCTAGCAATGACCTGGCACATTTTTACACTGATTGCCTTAATTAACATCGGTATAGAGAAATATTAGAGGATTATTTAAAGCCTTTAATAGTTTTCAAAGCTGACTCCACCTGGCAATTTCAACAAGATAATGCTCCTTGCCACACAGCATGCTCAATTAAGCAATACATGGCCAAAAAACGGTTAAATCTGATGCTTTGGCCCTATTGAGAATCTTTGAAGTTTGATGGGCTGCTAATTGCAGAAAAGCAAGCCCACTTACTTAATGCAGCTCAAGATACAAATGCAAGCAATGTGGAATACCGTGCCACAAGATTTAATCAAAAAACATACAGATTCTATGTCACGCAGAGTCTCGGCATGCCTTAAAAACAAAGTTAGTCGCATAAAGTATTAAATTTTCTTAGAATCTTTGAAAATTTTTAAGTGAGCTAATACTTTTGCACACATTTTTAATATTGTTTTTATCACTCTTATTCAAGATGCGGTAATTTCCAGATTTTTTTTTCAAATGTTTTCCAGTTTTTTTAAATATGACCTAGATGATCTCTGTATGATTGTATGATAGCAAAAAGAATGTTGCAGATTCTAAATTAAATAAAAATAAAAACCACTAAGTAAAACTTAACTAACTAAACCACTGTTTTATTTTAATTCTAAATTAAATACTGAAAGAAAAGAAATTTTGTGTGTGTTTTGTTTAATAGTATATATTGCAACATATGATAATTTGAAACATTACTTTTATATTGCGTTAAAGATAAATTACTATTGGTCACTAAAATTTTATTTTATTCATTGTCCAGCTACAGCTGGACAAAAATCAGACATATATTTTAATATTTGGCCAGATATGCACGGATATATTGACATATACACCAATATTAATTTTTTTTCATGAAATATTATATTGATTGATGTAAATATAATATTTACTCTTGCTTTATGAAAATTAGATCATGTGCCATGGCATGCAATTAAAATGTGGGTGGGATGAAAAATGAAATATTTATTTTAATTTCAAATGTTGATGCCAAATGTTATTTAAAATTGCTGGCATTTTTTGTGTGAATTTGGCAAGTTTATAATGTTTGCATTTTCAGATAGTTGGGTCTAATGGTCTTAAATGCTGTTAATCTTAGATCAAAACAAAGTGTTTACAAGCATCTCTAAAGTTTACATACTTAGAGTAGAGAGAATTGAATCACAATATTGTGATGTCAAGACTTAGTGTTAAGTTGACATGTTTACATCTGCTCTAAAAAGCAAGAGAAATTTGTTTAAAGGACTATGCAGGATCTTAAACTTTTATCATTTTGCTTGCATTTTAACATTTTGCTCATTATTGTCTTAAGCATGTGTTTCTCGTGTATTTGTAAAAAAATTTTTCAAAATGTTTTAAAAAATCTTTTTTTTTTAATAGATATACTAACATGTCTGAAGCAAAGGCGCAATCATGATTTTCTTAAGTATCTGAAAACAGTTGATTTCGAGAGTGTTACTCCTGATTGTTTTGATAAATGTCTCAATTTAGCAGTTGAAGAAGACAACTATGTTGTAATAGGAATTATTTTAATTCGGAAACCTCGTTATGCAAAAGAATGTTTGATTGATGCACTAAAAAAACCAAATTTTTCTAAAAGCACTCTTATATTGTTATTATGTTATGCTGTTGAAAAACACTTTAATGATGTAATCAAAGTAATTTTTGAGAACAAAGATGTGGAGTTAGACAAAAATCAATTGTTCAAGTGCGACATTCATATATCTGCTGAAACACTGCGTCATTTAAAGTATTTTTATTCATATATATATATATATTTTTTTTTATTATTGACTGTTTTATCTAGGTAAATTTAATGCTATCTTTGTCTCACTAAACATAAACCTTGAAATATAATGCTTTAAAATATAGTCAATTTTCATACTTAATTAAAAAATTTGCACAAAATAATAATATAAGATTATAGAACTATAAGTATGTAAAGTTTTTGCATTGTGTAGCATTTATAATTTATTAATTAAAGTAATGCTCCTATTTTAGAGGCTAACGGAATGAAATTTTAAGTGATTTACATAAATTACATTTATATAACTGTCTATGTAAATTGATATAACATTTAAGAATATTTAGTCTGCTTTAGGGTTTGCTTGAATCTTGTTTTGTTAATTTTGTTGATTTGAGTGGTAAATTCGTTAGATTCATTAGAGCTTGCAGGCTTTAACATTATACTACAATATTAAAAATTAATTAAAAATGTTTTAAATTATAGGTAGAAGGATTTAGGTTGTTGTATTTTTTAAATAATAAGTAAAAAGTAAAATACTGGCTGTAAAAGTAACAAAGTAAAAGTAAAAAGTACTGCTAGACCAAAGTAAAAGTAAAAAAGTTGAATCTTTGTAATTTTTAATTTTTTTTTTTTTTTCTTTTACCCTTTATCCTTACATGAAACTTAAAAAATTTTTTTTCAATTTTTTTACTTGGATTTTGTCCTATTTAAGTCCTAAAATCTATTATTTTTGACCTGGATTTTTGACCTGGATTTGGGAGTTTTTAGCTTATGTTTTATTGGAGGGACTCTGAGTTCAAAAAAAATTTTTTTTTTTTCCATATGGAGTTCTAAAGTTCTTTAACATTTTTAGAATTCTAAGGCTTCAAAGTCCAAGTAAAAGTAATGACTGTTTGATTCTCATGTTTGTTTTAAGACTTTAATTTTAAAAACAATAAAATAATCATAATTCCTTGTAAAAAATGAGTTTTACTTAGGAAACATTAACTTAGAAATGTCCATAGATTACGCAGCTCAAAATTTATTTAAAAAAAATTCTTTTGCGTATATGAGTCTTTGAGGAACTCTATGTGTAATGTTCAAAAAATAAATAATATACTTTTATATCCGTAAGCAAATTATTTTCAATTGTTCACATTACTTTTAAAGTAAGTTAATATATTTCTAATTGTTTGTACCACTCTAACTTTTGAAAAGGAATTTTGTGATCAAAATTTTGTGATCAATAGTATCAAAAGCCATATCAAAGACCAATTAAAATAATTTTAGAATTTTCAAATGAGTAAGAAATATTTATAGTAAATTGAAGAACTGCATGTTCAGTGCAATTGTTTTGTTGGAAGCCATATTGATTGCAGTATAAGAAATTGTATGATAACTATATTTTATTGTACAAAATACTTTTTCAAACTTTAAACTCTTGATAATTCAATCTCTAATATTATTTCAAGGTAAAAATTAAGAAGAAAACATAAGTTATGGCAATGATATGGATAAAAGGATGATTTATAAAAGAATGTTTAGTATTCTATAACTTCCTATGAATAAAAAGGAAATATGATTAAATAATAAAAGAATGACTCTAGTATGATTTGGTTTTACAGACAAAATATTTTTCAAAATATTGTGCAATTGGTCTTTATCATATAAAAAATTGTAATAATGTTTAACCAGTTTTTGCAAGTATTGTAATGTAAAATATTGTTGTCAGTAACTACTCTTATTGTTAACCAAGTGTGTTATAAATTAATTACTTATTAACAATGATTCGTTGACTTTTTTGTGTCTATAAATTGTGTGTTGTAAGTTAAATTTATATTTGTTGAGTAAACATATTTGTTTTAGGTTTTTTTTTTTGAGGATTTTAAAATGTTTAGCATAATTCTTATATATATCTGGTTTCATTTGTTATATATTTTTAATATTTGATTAATTTTTCATTTTATTTGATGTCTAATTTTTTGTTTTATTTTTCGTTTTATTTTGAAAACTCTTATACTGTATCCATGACGATTTAATGCTTTGAGATTAAAATTGTAAATATTGTTGAACTTTTAGAGGTGTTATTAAAGAGGTGTTAATAAAGCTCCAACGAAGTTCTTCAACGAAGTTCTAAAATGAGTTCTTATCTCATCTTGCAGAAAAATTATATGGCAAAGCTTCTTTTTCCAATGAAACTTTATTCTTGTCTCCTCTGTAATAATAAATGTTGAAAATTAAAATTGTAGCCCTTTCTAAAAACCTGGGTTTAAATTCTTCTTTTTTTCCCCCTCAAATCAACATCATTCTGTCTACATTCATTGTAAACAAACAGGTTAAGATTGGCTTGTTTTAAGATACTGTTCAAACCACTGAAATTTAAAGTAATACAAATGCAAATATAAAATAAAACAAATTTTGTTGTCACATTCTTAACTGATTTGAAGTAAATCATAATTGATTTGAAGTCAAATACTTACTGGTTTAAAGATTTCCAGAAGCCCTTTCTTGTAAATTTCACAAAATGGTTGTCTTTGTTAAATTTACTTTTATGCAGTATACATTGTTAATTTATTTCTGATTGTTTGTAAACCTTCAGCAAAAAATAATGTCAGATAACAGTTTAGGCTAATAAAGCAATAGATAAACTAAAAGCATCATTTTCTAAAATATTTGATTATGATGGACTAATTTTATTATACACCAATGTACAAAGTAAATGAACTAATATATGCATAAAAGTTGAAAGAGTGTGTAACAGCTGAACTAAACTTTTACTAAACATTTTTTATAACATTAGTAGTTATAATATTTTAACAATAGTTTTAACTTCAGACTTTAACTTTGTCTTTGATTTAATTGGATAAAATTTGTAATATTTAAAATGTGTCCGGCTACTGTCTTGTTGAAGGCCTCCTAAGCAAAGACTTAATGGGGTAAACAGATTCTATCTGCTGACCAGCCTCCCACCCCTTCTTCACCTATTAGGCTGCCACAGATGTTTTTTTTATACATTGTTTCCAGTTTAGGAAGTTGAATGGATCTTCTTGACTCTATGCATGGATTTTTCTTGTGTCTCTATTTTTATGACTAGGCAACTCATTCTATTATCTCCTATTGAGGGTACAGCTCTAAACCTCAGTTTTATGTTTTTATGGCCAGCTTGTAATCAGGTTTCCTAAACTCTGTGGTAGCTCTCAGAAAAGCTGATTCCATCAACAGCTGAAAAATATCAAAGTATTAATAGTACCTTGTTGCGCATGGATGGTGTCCCTTTTGTACTTTTGGTGTGCATTGCCAAGGCCATATTTGGAGCCCTTTGTTACGGCTAAGGGTTTATTAATAGTAATGAGGCAATTGCTTGGGCTAATAAACAGTGTACTGAGTACTGTCTATGCTTTTAGTAAACACAAAAAATCCAGACCTACTTGCTCTTTGTGAGACTAATTTGAGTTCAGCTGTCTCAACTTGTGATGGTTATCTTCCTTTAATTCGTAAAGGCTCCAATAGTCACATGCTTGGCCTGGGCATTCACCCGAAAAATGGGTGAATTTTTCGGGAAACTAGGTTTGAACCCATAGACTATTCTTTGATGTGCTTTTGTTTAGCACAACTTCACTCTATTGCCTTTCTCTTTGTTCTGTATGGCTTTCCTTCATCTTCATCATCTGAATCCCCCTATCATGGAATCTTTTATTCCCTCTTGATGATTTCAGGTCAAGCCTCACTCTTCTCCACGGTTTTCTTCACATTATGCTGCTGCAATTTCCAATCGAAACCGTTACTTCCATATTTATCAGCAAAACAATTATTCAGAAAACAGATATCTGTTTACTAAAGCTAGAAACCATAATAAAAAAGTTTTGTCTTACCCCAAAGCCCGCTATTCTCAGGTCATGAAATCTTGTATTTCATCACAAAAATTAGGCTCTTGTGACTACTGGAAAATCTTTAACAGTATCAATAATAAAAGCAAATCTATTATTTCACCTCTCTTGTATGGTTTAGACTTAGTCACCTCACCTAAAGACAAAGCCAATTTGTTTGCTTAAAATTTTTCATCAATATCATCTCTTGATTTCACCAGTTGCGTTCTACCTGATATAGCCGTCAAACAGATTGATCCATTGCTTGACATTCAAATCACTCCAGCTTCTGTATCTAAAGTGATTTCCAGCTTAGACTCTTTTACTGCTTGTGGCCCAGACAACATACTTATTATAGTCTTGTTGCAAAATTAGCATCTGCTAAGGTTGCATCTCTTTATTGGGCTTGACACTTTCTTTTATCAACACTTTCTTATTATTGAGCTGGACACTTTCTTACTCCGGATTTTATCTATTAGTCTCAAATCCATCTATGTATGGAATACTGTTGCCATATCTGGGGCGGATCTTTAAATGATGCCCTTTCTCTTTTAGACAAGGTGCAAAAACGCATTGTAAACACAGTTGGACCTGCTCTTGCAGCCAACCTTCAACCATTATCACATCATCGTAATGTTACTTTTCTTTCTCTTTTCTACAAATACTATAATGGACACTGCTCTAAAGAGCTAGTGTCTCTTGTGCAATCTACTCAAATTCATTCTCGTGTTACTTATCATTCAATTAAATCTCATCTTTTTTCTGTGACTAATTTAAGTGCTCTAAAAACTCTAATTTTTTTTTCAATTTCTAAAGAATTCTTTTCTTTTAAGAAAAGAATTCTTTAGAAATGATTACTTATGTAATCATTTCTAAAGAATTTCTCTTTTTATAATAGTGTCAGCAAATTCCACAAATGTGTGAAAATTTACAGTAGTTAAAATATTTGTGACTTCCTGTAATTTATTTTTTTGGTATAAATTTGTATTAATTTAATAAAGTTTTATTAACTTGATCATTCATTTCTAATGAGTCTTTATTGATGAAACACAGTGTAAAATGAAAAAAATTTTCGTTAAGTGATTTTGTACTAATTTATAATTGCTCTGTTCTTTTAAGAACATATATATATATATATATATATATATATATATATATATATATATATATATATATATATATATATATATATATATATATATATATATATATATATATATATATATATATATATATATATATATATATATATATATATATATATATATATATATATATATATATATATATATATATATATATATATATATATATATATATATATATATATATATATATATATATAATTAAAACTGCATATTTTTTACAACTAAAAGTTTCATGCTAAATGCATCAGGTGTAAATATGTTTTTTTTCTTGTGAAAAAATAATAAATCTGTACAAAAAAAAATCAGTTAAAAAGTCTAATCTTTTGGTTTGTGGTTGTCCAGCAAAAACTTGTTCTCATGGCGACATTTAGATATTAGTTTGTTTTTTTTGTTTAATAATTCTTGAGGATTTTTATACAATAAAATAATTAGTTTTTGGTATAAGCATAACAAGCATTTTTTGGTTATGTTGTTGTAGGCGGGGGCATTTTATGATGGACCATTTTAAATTGGGCGTTGTTTTTGTTTTATTTTGTCTATCCCATATATTTAGAAAGTGTAGTTGCATTTGTGAGTTTTTTATTTTTGAAGGATTGCTTGTGATTCGCCCATCTAGTTTTCCACATGCCCTCTGTTGAACCAATGTATGTTTTGTCAGGTGTGTTTGGGAATGATGCAATGCACTTATAAATTACATTTGTTTTTCTGCAATTTCCATTCATAGGGCAGATTTTGCTTAGTTTACAATTGTAAGCTAAAGTGGCCGTTGGGTTCATCGAAATAATTTTATTGTTGTGGTTCTTTATAATTTTTGCTATGTTGCTTGTACAGCTGTAGCTGACTTTTGTTGTGTTACGAATAAATAGTTTATGAAGCGGATTTGATTTTGGAAAGTATTTGTCGATTAATTGTAAAAAGGTTTTGCCTATATTTGTGAGAACGTTTTTATTGTATGGTGGGTTAAACCAGATTATATTTCTTTTTCTTTTACGATTGGGGGTTACTTTGGTATCAATTTTAGGGTTGTATTTTAAGCTAAAATCTTTGAACAAAATATATATATATATATATATATATATATATATATATATATATATATATATATATATATATATATATGTATATATATGTATATGTATATATATATATATATATATATATATATATATATATATATATATATATATATATATATATATATATATATATATATATATATATATATATATATATATATATATATATATATATATATATATATATATATATATATATAAGTGACTAGTTATGTGAGAATGAATTTTAGTTGAAGAAATCAGAGATAATAGCTTTTTTGAGCAGCAAACATGATGCATTTGCAGTAAAGAGAAAGAGATGTATCTTTACAATGATGAGGCTTTTACAACAAAGTTTGGCAAATTGAATAGGTTACATTTACATTATGTTTTTAGATCTTCTTTAGAAGAGAAAGGACATCAGAACCAGCCCAAATATAAAACAGTATTCCTTATAGGAACAAATAAGCGATTTTTTTAGAGGTAAAGAATAAAATATAGAGTAAAGAAATGGTGAGCAATATAAAGAAAAGCAACTTTAGCAGATGCTAACTTAGCAATAGATTTTGTTTCCAAATTTTCCATTTTTATTCTCCATATGAGAACTATATTGAGTAATAATTTGATAAGCAATAGACTCAGGTGTTTCCATTTATCACAATAATCACAATAATGCAATAATTATTTGTAGTTACTAGGTTTTGTTGGATTTAAAATTTGCAAGCCACTACAAGCCCTGAGCTGTCGCGGCTCATCGTATAGTAAGATTTGATTTTAAATTGGCTGTTTGTTTTAAGAATTTTTATCAAGACAGCAGTATATCGGCGTCATCAGCAAAAAGAGGATAACTTAAATGCTTTTGTTAAAAAGGAATTCAATAATCTCAAAAACTTTCTCAAACTTTCTCAAACTTTTAAAAACTTTCTCTCATAAAATGAGCTTATAGAGAAATCTAGCAAGCCAGATTTTATTGAAAATATGACATATGACAAGAAATGACAAGAGCAATAGTTCTTATCTTGTTTCCACCATCTAATGCATGATAGAACTTTCTGTTATAACAGTTAACAAATCAACTGTAGAAAAAGAGATTCTAAATCTGCATTGATTTTTATTTGTTTCAAGATAAGATATTAGAACTTTATCAATTAAAAACTTCGCTAATATAAGTCAGATAATAATAAGAGGGGTCAGAGAGTTCTCCAAAATTTTTTTGAATTTTATGATTCACTCTAGACAAAGCTGCAAGCAAACTCAATTACTAGAAAAAAAGGAAAAGAGTTAAAGAGCAAGAAAAAGAAGACTTGAAAAGTTGTATGTTTATAAGACGAATAAGAGATTTTTAGAGGTAGAGAATAGAACCAGGAGTAAGAAAATTGCAAGCACGATAAAGAGAAGCAACCTAAGCAGATGCTAATTTAGTAGTTGTGGACTCAGTTAGAGGGTTGCCATTCATCAATATATTGTTGGAATGTTGGAATGTTGACAGCATGTTGTTGGAATGTTGGAATGTTGACAGTGTGTTGTTGGAATGTTGGAATGTTGACAGTATTGCAATAGTTGTTTACTGTAAATAATGTATTTAATGTAGTTTTTCTTAGAGTTAAAACTTGTAAGCCACTGCAAGCCCCAATCTGTTACAGAAATGAGATCAGATTCAAGTTCGGCTGCCTGTTCTAAGCAATCAAAAAGAGAATACCTTTTGTCAAGACAAGAGTATAAAGTTGAGTCATCAGCAAATTGAGCCACTTTAGATATAAGCTTTTCAGGAAGATCATTTAGGTAGATAAGAAACAAAACAGGACCAAGAATATAACCTTAATGTACTACAAATTATTGGAAATAAAGAAAAGTTTCAACTTTTGAGGATGACTTCAATAAAGCGGTTAGAAAGAAATGGTTTGATAATCTCAAAAGCTTTCCCGGGTACGCCATTGGAAGGAAGCTTGTGGGGAGGACCAGCATGTCGAACTGTTGAAAGGTTTAGATATGTCAAGAGCATTATACCTAGCTTTGCTGCCTCCAACCAATGCACAATAAAATTATTAGTTAGAGAAAAAGTTCTTTGCAAATAAAGCTATACATTATTCTTGGCTGAGGTAATTGATCAGACCCATTTATTAATGGGTCTAATCAATTATCTCTTATTAAAGATGGAATGTTAGACTTTGTTAATGACACTGTTGAAAATTTTCTAAAATTCTCTAGAAATTAATTTCTGAGATAAACACTGAGGTTTAGTAAACTAAGAATAATGGACCTTAATGTCAGAAATCACTAGAAGACTAGAAGAACTATTTATTGATATATAAGAAGATTTATTTTCTAGTTCTTTTTTTTTGTTGTTGTTACTTCCTTAAATCATGTCCTGTTTTTTATTTTTGTTTTTTATTATATTAAATTAGGATATAATCAAATTTATTGAAAACATTTGTAGCTTCAATTTCTATATGTTTAGATTAAACTAATTGTTTGATATATGAATTTCATTAGTGAAGATTGGCTCAGTCTGTTCTTATAATTGAGCCTGAGCCTGGTTGTGTAAACAATTTGCTTAGTTATAAAATTTCATGTTATCTTTTTTTTTTAGTTTATCATTAGTTTTTTAAAATATGGCATGATAGTTTAAAAAAAATCATTAAACTAAATTTATGTTTTTTCTTTTTTTAAGATCATTTGTAAGCAATGACAAAGTGTTTGCTTACCCAATTAGCATTGGATGCAATCATATGGTGAAAAATTTTAAAGGTGTTGAATATATGTTATTGAGCTTATTTTGTGATAAGAAAAACCTTAAAGCTGATTGGAGAGGACTCCTGCTACGTTTCCTTCATGAAGATTGGTTTAAAGGTCTAACAAGTTATAAAGATGTTATCCTTTCTCATAATAAAATTAAAAGCATATCCCCAACAAATATTTTGAATTGTCTCGGAGCTGTAGAAAAGCTGAATCTTAGTTCAAATAAATTACAAGATGTTCCCTCAGAATTGTTTAAGCTTCCCAAACTTCGCATTCTAAATCTTTCATCAAATCAGTTAAGACATCTCCCTAATGTTAAAGAATGGTCACTATTTCTTACAACATTATCTCTTGAAAAAAATTTATTAGAAAGTTTTCCATTGCATGTTGAAGGACTTAAATTAAAACACTTATATTTAGCAGATAATAGATTAAAAAGTGTTCCTAAAAGTATATGTAACCTGAAATGTTTAGAAACTCTTGATATTAGTCGAAATGTTGATATTCATTCATTACCAGTGAGCATGGGAAAGTTATCAAAACTTACTCAACTAGATTTGGATGGCTTAGAG